TTGGTATTTAAAACATAAGCTTTGCCTAATGCAAGTGCATCACACGAAAACTCACTGTACCTATATTTCTGTTTGCTTTGAACACAGTTTCTACCAATGCAATTTACGGACATCTTTAAATGTGTGCCGCTTCTGATAAACCATGCTATCCGAAACTGGTGTTCAATGAATATTGCAAAATTGCACATACTTTAGATGAGCCCCAACTTGTCCTGTGCTTGTATTAGTGTTAGTATTCTTTGCCTTGCAGGAGCAGAAGAGACAAAGTCGTTAATCGTATAGCGTTAATTGCAGCATTCAAGTCGGTGTCAGTGTTTTTCGCTAAAAATTCATCCGCAAAATTTCAACCATTTCGGCAACAATAGTAGACAACAATACAATCAACCTGTTTAACTCTTTATGGCCGAAAGCACTCACAAATGCCACACGCCCGGAATCACTTCAATAGACTGTGTCCACATCCGTTACATTATCAACTAGAGGCACTTGCAATCTACAACCTTTAAGAAATTTAAAATTTTGTAAAAGTTTTCGATTTCCAAAACCATATCTTATAACAAACCGTACGAAAGGGATTAATACTTACTCGTATCCTGTTTAACAAATAATATCTAAAACATCTACAATGAAACAATACAATAGCCACTGTAAAACTAATGAGATTAGATACCTGTACTTCAACTAATCAATGTAAAACGATGTAAAGATGCGATAGGCAATTTCACGTAACTCGATGTGACGTCATATAAGTGGCTAAATTATGTAAGATAAAAATGAAACAAAACAAGTTCAGTTGAACATTGATGACAATTCCAGAACAACGTAACTACATATATATATATATATATATATATATATATATATAGGCAATTATTTCCCTTTGGTTGAGACGGTGACGTCAGTTCAGCGAGTCTCGAACGCCAATTGCTATTTATCACACCATGAACATAGAGGATGCCACCGACTTGCCTATTTTCTCGTTGGGAAATGTTACAAGTAAATATTAGCGCTTTCACACAGGGAAGTATTACAAGAAATAATACCGCTTTCGTACAGCTTGTTGTATACATATTTATAGTTTCTCTGTGTGGAACAAATTAGTAACAATTATGTATATATCGGTATAAATATTTCTTTGAGAATATTGCATATTTGTAATTCCTTTCTTTCAGCTGTCCCGTCCATGTATTAAGATGGTATTATATCACGGATATAATAATGTCTATAATGGGAAAATGAAAACTAGAAATATTTTCTCTTACTGTGTAACCCCATTACCGAAATTAGCCATTTAAAGATAATATTCGTTTCAGGTGGAATAAATGGATAACGGTGGAATGTGATTCAAGACAAGTGAATGTAATTTTCCGGTGCAGTTCTTCTTGTCCTATGTACCGTGTACCATCAGGACGTAGGCGATCATGGCTCTCCACAATATCCTAAACTCTGTAGCTCTTAATAAATTTTGTCTTTTTTTTCATCTCTCCTAAATCTTGTTTCATCATTCATTTACTCACGTGCAATAGGTAGATTATGCGTTTCTTTCCTCTGTCCCTCTTGCCTTCAATCTGTCCTGTGAGTATCAAAATTTTCAAGCCCTCTTTCCTTATTATGTGCCCAAGAAATTTCTACTGTCTTTTCCGGAGGTTAAGTATAATTGTCCTTTCTGTTTCTATTTTACCCAAAACGTTACTCACATGTTCATTGCTCACATGTTCATTGCTCACATGTTCATTGCTCACATGTTGTTGCTCACATGTTGTTGCTCACATGTTGTTGCTTACATGTTCGGTCCATGGTATCTTCAGCATCCTTCTGTAGTTCTTCAAATTTATTTTTTTTCATCTGTTAGGAGATTATCTAGCATTCACTGCCATATACTGGTTACAAATTATATGATGTAATGTTTATTTATTCATACGCCATTTGTATTATTTTTATATAAATCAATTTACCAAACGTGAATTACAGTATCAAATCATAGCTTGGGTTTCTGGAGTTACGGTAATTGGAATACAGCATGTTATAAACAATAATCCTTTAACCTTATCTCTATGATATAGAGGTGAACATTTCTAATCAGAATGTAGGTTGACCACTCATTTTGTTTGTTGCCTTACGACTAAAACTTTGACTTGCGTGCTTTAATTTACTATAAATAGCAATAGATAGTCGCAAAGCTTTTGGGGGTGCAGCGAAGTAGCGTTGTTTGTTTTCGTTAGACTTACTATGGCAACATTCACAAAAATACCCCGTCTACAAGATCTTAATACAAAGTCACATATTTTACAGACAACTGGGACCATTTCTCAGCTCCCTTCTCTCTACAGCGATCTATCTCTTTCGACCAAGAATAATATACATCGGTATATTAATGAGTAGTCTGCATCCTAAAGATAACTGTTTAACTATAATTTTCCTTATCAATGCCATTAATTCGACTGGGAATGTTAATAGCATAGATCAAGTATTATACAGTAATTTTTTAAGATGAAACATGGTCATTATTAATTTTTAACTAGTTCTTCTTTCATTTTATTTTTACGCTTTTAACGAAAACGATGAGGTCGCTCTTATATTCTACAGGCAATATGAAAACAGCATGGATAGACTCCTACAAGATTTGAACTGACATTCTTCATCCTTGAGAACCTTTCTGAAATAGACAACTCCTTATCAGGTAGGACACATAAGCTTACCAGCAGTCGTAATTCAAATTTAGTGATCATGACACATTATTTTCTGAAAAATCCTCGGCTTGACATACTTCCCAAAATTTGATTAACACTCTTTTTAAGGGTTTTTTGGTAAATCTAATAACTTTCAGTAGTCACACATATATGTTGTACTAGACGGAATAGTATTTATTCGTCTGGATTTCTTAAGTGAAACACAGTCATTATTAATTTTTAATTAGTTTTTATTTTATTTTATTTCTTTTATCGTAAATTATATGAGTCATTGTCATTAATCCATAAGTTGTTCGGATTGATATTCTCATCATGAGAGTGATATTTCTAAACAACACCTGAATTTATGGTAACTAATTTCAAAATATCCGACAATATTTATCTATTTTGGGCAGAATTACTTTCTCAAATAGTACAAGTCATATACTTTTGTTCACTGGAAAAGATATGCGTCATCACACGGAGGAATTAATTAGAATGAATAAACTGGTATTAGTTATCTCGACTAATAGGACAGAAGAAAGAAAATGATCGTGGACTGATTTCCGGAAGGTTACTAACTACAACATACACCTGAAGAAGTCTAGAACGTGCAACGGCCGAAACGTTAGCATTATAACAACCAAGATGAAGATTCTCGTTCGAGTAAGTCAACGTATAATCCAGATCACGATCTCCGTAAACCACATGTAATGCAATCGCAGTAACAGGGATTCTTCCTGGGCAAGATAACCAGACAGAGACGAACCCTCTCAAGGCTGATTTTGAATTCATTTTTCCTTCTCCTAGACTAGTTGACAACCAAGTCTATAGGACCCAGTGTGTCCTGAACAAAGAAAAGCATAACGATGTTTCGCGAGACTTCGTTACAATTCCATAGACATAAGGCTTGCTTCCCGTGTGGATGTTGATATCATACTCAGAACAGATGAAATATGTATCCATCAGCCAAAGCCTAATAATAATAATAATAATAAGAAGAAGAAGAAGAAGAAGAAGAAGAAGAAGAAGAGGAGGAGGAGAAGAAGAGGAAGAAGAATAGATGGCAGTGAAAATGTAAATTATACATCTTTGTAATCAAATATAAGATTCTTTCGTGGAAAAAATATATTGATAATGTATTCATTGTGATTAGTCTTCATACCATGATGATTTTCGACAATATCTTATATAAGTTTTTTGTATCATTATAATTATTATTGATAATGTCCAAGTAAAAAAGAATCGGTTCATACCTGGTGTTTTACTTCATTTTTTTCTTTTTCTTGTTTGATAGACTTTCTAAAAACAAAAGCGAATGATTTGTATATTGGTCTTAATTTTAAGCCTTTTCTTGTTAATGTTGTTCTTGATTATGAAGAAACGTTCAAAATATTGTTTTGCTTATTATTTATTGAAATCGCTACACAAAAGCTTTGATGCTTCAATACTATGATTGTACTTCTTCAGACGATGGTAAGTAACTATTGATTAAGTATTTTTAAAGAAATTTAAAGACAAAGTGTTACCTCTTTTCCGAAAGTTAAAGTGGGCGGGGATATAAGGCCAGAATTAAAAGTAGACTTGTGAGTATGTCTTGATTAACCAATTAAGTGTCAGATCTACGCTAAATAGTAAGATCAAATTGTGGAAGTGGGTGAGTTATTTTTTCATGTCACAATAAACCGGAACATAGACAGGTCATCATTAACGATTGCGGGAAATATGTCAGCGACAAATTTATCGTGATTTTAGACAAATATGAAATGTTCAATTTTTTGAAAGGGCGTTGAAGGGTGGGTAGGGTTTATCAGACGTAAAGTTAAAAGAAAAAAAATTAAAAACAATTTTTTATATTCAGAAAGCTACTTAAAGGGGCCTGTAGATAAAATTAAAAATGTGGAACATCTATATAAGGTATTAATAATACTAACTGGACGGCAATACATAGCAATATTTAAGCTGAATAAACAAAATAAAGTAATTACCCGTAGAGGGTGGACCATTATATACTAATAAATTATAGCTATAAGAAATGCTAATACTTATTTTTTTTAATTTTAACTATATTTTAAGGTAAGAGATAAACTATGTCGGCAATTTACACTTAATTCACTCCTTTGTGATGTTAAACAGCCTCTCTTGTTTACCCAAGAAGGGAGAAGATGTTTCATACCTTTCCCAAGGGTATTAGTACGTAAGTGAATGCAATGGATTCGACTGAAATTCGAACTCCTCAATCCGAGCCATTATCCATTTCTCCACCGTGCCTCCCCATAACAGTATCAACTGAATTAGCTTTGTGGATTTGACAGAAGGCTTACGACTATAATGAAATACCGGTTCCCGTACGATCCCCGAAGTTAAGCTACATCGAATCTGGTCAGTATCTAGATAGGTGACCGCTTGAAAATACCAGGTGCTGTAATCTTGGATATGCGAGTATTTTAATTAGGTACGTCCACTATTTCGGCATAAATTTTCTATATTTAAGTTTAAAATGAATTTTTTACAACGAAAAAATGTTCTCGAAGATTTCATTTTAGCTTTAATTGAAAGTTTAATCATTAAATTTATTATTTCCATTAATTAAACAATTCTGGTGTATTTCAGATAGAAACTATATACATTTGATTGTCAAATTTAATTTCAAATTCTTAAATTTTCTTAAAATCGGCCATTTTCTTAATTTTTAGAAATTTGTAAACAAACACAAATTTATCGATTTTGAAAATATTTAAAAAAAATTCTGACACGTTATTTTAGTAAAATTTAAAAATTTAAAGTTAAAGTAATCTGATTTGAAAGAAATCTTTCTTACTTATAGCATAAAAAATAATATACAACCAATTATTAACGATCGGTTCTCTTCATCTGATCCAACAATCGATGACAGCTACTACGGTTGACCATAAATTACATAATTTTTAAAAATCTGAGTTAACAGTTTTTTGATGGGTTTTTAGCTACATAGTAATTGTTAGAAATGAACATATTTTCCGCAATTTTTATTGACTTTTATTTACCTTTCGAAGATGCAAAAATAAAAAAAATAAAATAAAATACCATGATAGAAGTAATTTAATAATTTATGAAATGGTAATTTAATTATTATTTAATAAATCAAAATTAAATCTGACTTTCCAATCCAATGTATATAGTTTCTGTCTGAAATACACCAGAATTTTTATAATTTTTATAATAAATTTAATCATTAAGCTTTTAATTAAATATTTGTTCCTTCTTGAAGTTTTTAAAAAATTATTCTATTTGAGTATGATCCACACTAATGGAAATACAATACATAAAATTAAAATATTTAGTGAAATAGTAAATGAAAAAAAGAAAAATTACTTTAAAATTTAAATTTTACACTTTTAAAGCTGAACGGAAAATACAACCTGTTAGAAAGCAACTGAGAAACGAAATGTTATGAAAAGGCCACGTAAAGGGACAAAACTCTTAGATCACGTGACCTTGTTAAAATAATGGCAATTTCAGTATATCATACATGGGAATAAGGAATGTATTAAATAAAAAAATACGACATAAAAAAATTATTTTTTAAAAAATTAGCGCAACTAAGTTTATTAAACTTAGCAATTTTGGACTCGTAATTTTTTTTTCTACTTAATTACTACATCACCTCAAGGAACCAGCCTAATACAGAGCTTTACACGATTTTAAACTATTATAAATTGTTATAATTAAAATTTCTTAAAAAACGAAAAAATTCTTGTAAAACTTAATTATTCATCAGAAAAAAATTATTTCTTCAGACAATAATGTCCTTAATATTACTTATTTATAGAAGCAATTCAAAGCTTTTCTAATTAAGTAATATCATAGTTTTATTGGATTCATTATTTTTCAATTCAGAACAGATTTTCAGTTAGATAGTTCAAATTTGAAAAAAAAAGTAGGTTATTTACTATCTCCAAAGACTCCTACTTTTAACAAAAAAAATTTCAGGAACCTGAAAGGTTTGGGGCGAAATTTCATGAAATTAAGTGTGTGTGGGGGGAGGGGGGGTAATAGATTTAAAAAAAAATATTTTTTACCAAAATTTTCTAAAAAAAAATATTTCAAAAATAATTTCATTCATTTGTGAATAAGTCCTGAAAATTTCATTAAAATCGGACAATTACTTGATTTTTACAAGAATTTCCAAATCAATATGTTTTCAACGGAAAAAAATCGGAAAAAAAAAAACAATGTTATTTTCTATGACGCCGCGATGACGTAAACAAAAGGAGACTTTAACCAAAATTTCGAACGTGTTAGAAAATATTAAAAAAATTCAAAAAATAATTAAAAAATACTTTGGTCTTTCATCTTAATAATAACATAAGCGTTTTGACGATAAAGCTTTATTTTAGTTAAGTTTGTGGCATTTTTCATTACGCTATGCTGTTTTCCCGCGAAAACAGTGGACGAGGCTAATTTTAATGGATAACGAATCGGAATTGTTAATCGGAGAGCCGATTTCTAATTCCTATTTTGTTCGTTATATTTACTCACGTGCAAATACCCTTGAGAATGGTATGAATCCACCTCTTCTCCCCCAGCTATAGGTTCATTAGTAAAAATTGTATCACTAAACCATTATTATCTTCAAAATAATCTTACAATCTAAAAATATTTTCTAGCTTTAAACAACCTGCAATTCGTAGAAAACGAATTTATAAATATGAATTTGACCGAAATTCCGTGTCATTGACTACCTGCTTACTACTTCATCCGGCTTGAATAACGTGTGCTATTACTCACTGTCGTTGCATTGCCATCTAACACCAAGCACGTTTGAACAAAATTCTATGTTCTCCCGAATATACGTTTAGAAATGTTTCTCGTGTATCCACTATTAGCGATGCTACGCAGTCGAAGAGTTTACTTATCAATCAAACTTTGTATTAAATACGCAATAGTTATAATCTAATTTTAGTATTTTTTTCTACTGGTTCAGAATGCTTTTACTTTCTTGATATCATGCATGGTACAAAACACGTTTAGAAATATGTAAACTGTCGGCTATATAGATTCGCTTTCTAAGATCAGTGACTTCGAACGAATGAAGCCTGTAGTTTTTAGTGTGGACTATCCATCTTCGAACCTTGTGAACTGGTGCTATAGAATCACAAACAAATAACTGTACCAAATATCAGAAACCACGTCACTTGATAGCTTTCAACAACGGAAACAACTAACATGGATTGCATATATAACTCAAAAGTAAAATAATGACAAAAATCAAGATGTTGATATTCCAAAAAGTGATAAAGGAAGCCCCCATCAATACTGGAAAGAGAGATGACAGTGGACTTGAGAAACATATTTTCCTGAAAAATTGTTTTGTAACAAATTTTATGAATTTTCACGGAAAGACTGGATGCTTGGACAATAAATGCTGAAACATTTCCGTATAAAGAAACAGACTTTATTACCAGTACAATTCATCATAACTACTTATTCATTCTCTGACTAAAGCGGATTTCAAATAGAGAACAAGCTTTCGATAACTGAAATTAAAATTAAGAAAATGTTTATAAAAAAATTATATTGGTTGACAATGATTCAGATAATAAAGGTCCCGGGTGCTTAGTTTAATCATAGTAATAAGGCATCCCTGTGAGAATCCAACTCATTTCTAGAGTGGTGCTAACTTAGCAAGTTTATCGACTCGGAGTGTCATTAAGAAATGGTGAAAGTAATTCATCTAAGAAAATTTCAAAAAAATATTCTACTTTTAACTTAGCAAAAGAAAAATTGCTCATCTAATCAGAAAGGAGTAAGTGATAGAATTACAATAGATTGAGTTTCACTAAGCCCTAAACACTTCCGTGATTGAAGTGGTAATGGCAACTTCTATAAAAAAAAAATTGGCTCTCTATGTTTAGGTTGGAAGTTAAAATCTCATCGAAAGCTAATTTGTTATTTCCGATTTCACACTGTTTGTTCTAATGGTTAAATAATTTATCGAACTTAGCTTAACATTGCACAAAGTCATAGTACTGTAGTGGATGTGTTAATCATATGGGTAAATAATTTGAGATATAGGCTGCGTGATAAATTAACAATTTCCACTAACATCAAAATTTCAATATTCACACATACAATCAGATCAACATGAGAAATAACAATAAATCTCTTTTTTTTTGAATAACAAACAATGAGAATTTTATATACAGTAAGTCATACAAAAGAACAAAGCAAGGCATACAAAGTATGATTGAGGTTTGCAAACTTACGAAATATTAAACAGTTTGTGTAGTAATATTTTTATGCGAGTTTTTAGTTTGCTTAAGAAGTTGTCCCTCTTTGACCGTAATAATTTTTTGTTAGGGAATCAACTGAAATGTTTACTGGATGAATATAAGTTCTATGGTTGAGAACTTCCACAGTTTATGGTGATTGAATCCAGTGATTGATGAGTGAGTGGATTGGAGTTGTTTCGTGTTAAGAAATTTTAACTTTGCAACTTCAAAAGTATAAGTGACGCGGAGTAGTTTAGCGATTGGTTCTCCGCCACAAAGCCCACTGGTAAATTTGCGTTCGTGCATTCCTTATATTTGGATTCCTAGTCACGTGGTTGGATCACGAACACGTTTCAAGATTTAGGCGGTTTTTTGGTGTTTAAACACGTGTGCGTAGGCGTTGTTCCGACTTGAGATATATTGACCAATCAGAAACAATTATTGTGAAACTTGCGTCTGGAGCCTGGATTGTGTTTAGCTTGTACAAAAATCTACAACTAACACATGAAAATGTAAATTAGTAATGTTTTAATATTTATTGTCCAATGAGGACGTAGTGAACTCAGTCATTGGTTCTGATCTACTGGCATGTAGAGGTTAAGCTCTACAATACCCCCGGCAGATTGTAAAAAAATTTAAAGATTTTTTCAATATGTATAATATTTTTTAACTTGGTAGGCCAATGAACGTGCCTCCCAGCTCTGGTAGTAACTTCCTTGGGCTGTGTTTGTGTCTGTTGAGGGGTAAAACTTTGAGTTGAACTGGAGAAAGGTTGTGTATGTACATCCAGAAATGCTGGCTTCAATCTGTCAATACTAACTTTATTTTCTCTGTTATTGACAAGAACTGTAAAATATTTTGGGCAACGGGAGACTACTCTGTATGGGCCAGAATATGTTGGCGTAAGTGGTTTTTTTACTGCATCTCTGCGAACAAATATGTATTCACAATTTTCTAAAGTTTTCGGAATAAAAATCTCCTTGTCCTGTGTGCGAGTAGGAGTAAACGAAAGATCGGAAATGCGTTGCTTCAAGTCCTGAATAAAATATGTTGTTGGACGAGTCGGGATATCTTTTTCAATGAATTGGCCAGGGAGTGTAAGCGAACTCCCGAAAACTAGTTCGGCTGTGGTACAATGTAGATCTTCTTTTACTACGTTACGGAGTGAAAGCATT